AAAGATATGGTGGGTAAATTTACTACAATTACACTGAATTATTTTGTTCTATTAAATCAAGTTACAAAAGTAATGACATCACATGCTGAAGAAAGTAACTACCCTCACTAATTCTCAGTAAATATTACCTACCTGACAGTTTTATACAAATTAATAATATATGATTGAATAAATCCGATATTCTGACCAAAAATATTCTTAAACCTAGAAATTGTTAAGAAAATGCATAAAAGACTAGGATTAACACAACAGAAATGTGAAGCTGAAAACTGTGTTTTATCAGCCATTAAAGAAATATTTCTGCAGTGGATGCCCATCTCATGCGAACCTTTTTTTTTCTGTTTGTGGAAAGTCAGATTTTTGGGTGCTGCATTTCTCCTGAAAAACTCATCCAGGTTCTTTGAAGAATCTAATTTTCTGGTGCTGTTACCCTTATGTCAAGCACAGATTCTCCATTAAATAGCAATATCTAAGCTATATTACACTGGGATGAACTTGAAACCAGGCAACAATTCTTGGATGTTTATTTAAAAAAGCAGTAATTGTTATGTTAGAAAAATCAAATAACTGACAGTTGCTGTGGTTAAATTTTATTAGTATCCTTGGGACCACAGCTAATTTAGGTAGAAAATGTACTGGATTTCCAAACACAGAGAAGACACCCAACAGTTTCTTTGTACTTGTGCAGTAAACCAATATCCTTTTTATTCCCTAGAGAAAAGGTATCAAAGATAAGACTACTCCAAAATTCTTCTCAATGTCCAAACTTCTGTAAGCTGAGCTCCCATTTCCCCAAGGAACAAACTTCCTCCATAAGTAAGTCAACTTCAGCTTTTCCTTGCCTTAACACTCAGCAGACTTTAAAGCACAGAACCCCCTTCTCCAGCCACTAGGTAAGGAATGTTATTGCACGGAATGCTATTCCATGGAGCAGGAGCCAACTTCTGTACCCCTTCTTGCTTGCTCCACTATTTCACTAGTATTGCCAGTACATCTCCTGGAGCAACATTCAGATAACCATTCATGTTGTTATCGCTCAACAATGAAGCAGAGCAGCATACCTCCTCCAAACCTCCTCTTAAAGTGACCAAGGTCCTCATAGGGAACACAGGAGACCCTGAACTACCTAAAGGAAACCAGGAATCTAAATCCTTAATTCCTGACACCCTATGTAAACACCCTCACTGCTGATTTAAAGAATTCACCTCTATCCCACACCATCTCCTCCTGGTGCTTCTTGAGTCAGTGTACATACACGACTAAATAATAACTATCTCAGTCATAACAACTGATCTAGGAGCCTGACTCCAGAGAGCAGAGTTACAGTGAATGAGACATTTATGCAAAATGTAGAAGAGACAGATTAAAATTCCTCTTCTCATTTACAATTATTTTTTAATATAATTTTCTTTTATTAATAAAAAGTGGAATAGCTTCAGTGCTGTATTATACTTGTATGTCCCACGTTCCCGAAGGAGGAACTTGAACTTCAGTCTCTCACAGGAGATGACTGCTTCCATCAAAAATCAGTATTTCCCACTGCAGAAAGTTTCAATAGATAAGTTATATCTGAACAAAACAACAAACCTGTGCATATTTATTTCATACCATATTATGTACCATTTTGTACTCTTTCCATACCAAATAGCCATCTTTTTTGGTGTCAAGTATCTTTATAATATGTATTTGTTTTATTTTAATTAAGCTTTTGTTAGTCTTACTGCTTTATCACATTTGCCTTTTTCATACTTGTTTTTCTAAAGTACATCTTTTCCTACCGTGTTTTAACATATTTACACATATCTGTCTCTCACATTGTATACTTTTCTCCCTCCTCTTTGTCCTACAATCTGTTCTCTATCTAGTTGCTTGTGTGTTCTCTTCTTTCATATTTCAAAATCTTTTATATTATCAGATTTGGATTCCTGAATTAACACATTAATCTTACCTCTTTACATAAAACCTTGTGAACTACTCCCAAACCTATTACACAAAAGACTGAATCTACACAACAGAGTTTGATATAAAAGACAGAAGGAGCAGTGTTATCTACAGGAACCACCTAGATGAAAAGAAAAAACACATTTCTAGCTACTCAAATTCCCACAGGGATGTTTCTCCTTGTATCAGCCCCAAGACACTAAGAAGCATGGTAAATTTTAAGCCTTTGCACTGCTCCCTTATTTCACACATGGTTTAAGAGAAAAGGTTATGTTTGTTCTGGGTTTTTTTGGTTGGCTTCCATTTTTTTTTTAGAAAGTGCTGTACCAGATAGAAACAGTTTATTTTCTTCCCTTAACTTCTCATTAGGAGAGAAGTATCAGTTCATCCTGCTCAATCCACTGCCTACTGATCATTCCAGCTTTTACAACCCTGTTTTCAGTTTTCACAAGAAGGGAACCGAAACTTGCTTGTGGTAGTCTCATAACTCTCCAGAGAAAAAAGCAATAGGGAAAAAGATATGACTTTGACCTAACTTACCTTCTGTTTGATTGTTTGTCAAGTTTTGTTTAAAGGAAATAAGAGGTGATATTTCTGAACTAGTTTCTGCACAACAGACATTTAAGCACCACTTTGGCATTTTCCTTTTTTTTTTTTTTAATTAAAACCTAGTCTCTTAAGCTACCTGTATGTGTTTCACACTCACAACAGTTCAGTGGAATTTTCAAATCCTAGACAGTCTGTCAAGAAAAAGAAAATCCAGGTTCTCTTGTCATCAGCACTGCAATCTTAATGCTTTGATAAGGTCTGCTGGTTTCATTCAGTGATGAGACCTGTTCTTAGAAGAAACATCGGAAGATCAGGGAAAGTAATTCCTTACTTCAAACTGGCAACACTGCATGAGGAGACATCACAATTTTCATTCAGGCCATTTATCGTTTAGGCCAGTTATTTTCATTTCATACCAGACAGAAGTGCCTAAATCAACTAGAGGACTGAATGCCAGAAAACCCAGAAAAGGATGCAATTTTTCTTATTATTATTAACTAAAATTGCAGTCCTTTTACTCACTGTACTGTAATTTCCTGCATTTGGAAGAGCAATTTATATGATTTGCACATGAAGTAGACATAATATCAGTGTGTAACTATCTGTATTCTCCTTTTAGTCATAACATAATGATTCCAAATACCTTCAGTCAGGTTTGACATCCATAAAATACTGCCTTGTCTAACCAGATACACATCCAATTCCCATTACAGGACACAAAAAACAGGAACACATTTAATATACTACAACTTAACATGATCTCATCTCAATTTTGCAAAAAAACCCCAAAACATTGCAAATAATATGTGTTCTAAACATGTAACACATTTACCAGAATTTTAAGATGCACAAAAAGGGATAGTTCATTTTACAGTAGCTGGAATTATTCAACTAAAAAGAACTATGAATTTAAAAACCACATTATGAGAGAGAAAGAAGTAAAATCATAAGAACACAAAGTCTGAGGTCCAATGAGATTGAATGATTGCATTTATTAAAAGAGATTTGGTGATCAAACTCCTTGGTTTTTTTTCCTTTTTTTTTTTATTTTAATAAATAGACAAGTATTCAAAATGCAGAAATATATAATCTGTTTTTAAGTATAATAACCATTTTAGGGAAGGGAGGTTTGAAAACTTTGTCACTCTGGCACAATCATTGCACAAAATATATAACAAAACAGGAATATGACCTATAACTCTCCTCTACTAGAAACACTCCTTCAAAGAGTATCTGTTAAGGATCCCAGTTTTAAATACTCAACCTCTCATGTTAGCCAAGACATCCGCATCTCTAGGAAAGAATTAAAATGCAGGTGTGTAAGCATTGGTATAAGGATTTAAGTCGCAACTGCTCTTTGGTTTCTTGAGAAAACCTCTGGAATTTGCACTCTAGGAGTTAATTTCCTACTCTGGACCTACCATACACCCATATTGCACTCAGTAAACCTAAAGTATATTTTTTCTGCCTCTCAGTATTAACTTAAAATGAACAAAAACTTTGTATCAGAAGAAGGCAAGCATCACTTTCACAAGACTAGGCTTCTTTTTCACACAAAGTGTAGTCTGGTGGTTTTTTAGTGGACTAAAGCAAACAAAAATATTTTAATGGTTTAATGTTTGAATAATTTTTCTTTCTTTGCTTTATTAAAAAAACCATGTTTGAAGAGAACCATTTTCTATACTGAATACTTTAAAGCCAACTGCAAGAATTAAACTTCATTTTGCAAAATGTGTAACAATCAGTGACAGCACTGACATGTAGAGCAGAACATTAGCTTAACTTGGTAAATATAATAGAAATAGTAAGTTTTAAATAAGATTTTCTTATGTTTACTGCTTTAAGTTTCATTTAGCACAATGCAAGAGACAATTACACCTATGAAGTTCCAGTGTTAAAACACGTTACACAAATTGTGCAGTCACTCACACAGATGTAAATGTAACAAAATAGTGTCCATAAAATGTAAATGTTTTTTACTGTCAAGTACTGATAGGTGAATCAGTATTCAGTGCAAAACTGAAAAAGACTGTGCCTCTAATAAATTCAGTACAAGCCTAGCAAAAAAGCCTGCTGTTATCATGAAAGCTCATGTTATCATGAGATTACAACAGACGTTGAGTGAGAATACGTACAAATTTAATGAAATGTAAAAGAAAACACTTCAAATCATAACAAATTTCTGTAGTGCTTTCTATTGCATCTCATCGCCTGCTAAGGGCTCTTGTCATGTTAGCTGCCATATTAAACTACATGGCAGCACTGCCACAGCAACATGACACACAACTAAATTTTTGTTTTTACTGTAAGAGAGAAACTTGGTTCCTTTAGAACAAGGTCCTGAAAAAAACCAAACAAGCATTCCCATCATAAATAAAATGGTTTCATAGAGAAATACCGAACACTGATCCACAAATTAAAACATTGCAGATTTAGAGCTCTTCACATACAGGAAGACACACACATATGTGTATGAACACACAACCATACACACATGTAATTTCACTTACCTCAGCAGCTCTCTTTATATATGGCATCTGTGTGCCGCTGTCCAGGTCTTTGTTAATTATAAGCCTCCTGGCCCACTGACCTGCTCTGACAACACCATTACCATGAATCAGGACCAAGAGCTTGTCAGGATTTGTCAACGCATCTTCACTCATAAAGATAAAACTCTTTGGTTCACTCTCTGTTGCATCAACCTGCAATTAAAGATCACACAAACTTACATCAATAAAATGCACAAAAATGCACCATTAAAATTTTTAAAAGTACACCTGTAAAGTTAGTTTCCTAATTGAGATGAAAACCTTCACCATTTGACAACTATTTGCATGCATATTACAAGGACTAATGTGTGCAGAGTACTAAACAAAAATAAAGCATAAGCTAGTATCTGTGGAATCTAACTTCAAAACATGAAAATGTACCACAGTCTAGAAGAGTAGTGCAACTGAGACTTCAATCAAAAAAAAGGGGGTAAGAAGTATGCAAAAGCTTTGAAACATCAATTTTTACAGGAATGTACTGGTAAAAAAGAAAGTCCATAAAAGAACAATTGAGCAGGGGCTGTCAAGTAATTTATCACTTCTGATACGCCTGAAGCAACAATAAAATTCTTCCATAATATAAAAAAATTCTTGGAGACTTCCATCTCAGCCACGTCAACATAAATACCCAGTAAGCTGCATAGTAACCAGTATCACAAATTTGTCTATTATAAATTTAATAGGACAGGCCTAATAAAATACAGAAATGCAATTTAGGTCTAAATAATGGCTTCATTAAGAGTTCTGCACTGGGTCAATGATTAGCTATTTTGCTGCATTAACAGACTAACAACCAGCTCTGATATCCAGTAAACCACAATCTAATTCCAACGTTTATTCTTAACTCAAGAGAGTAAAGCAGCACTTTTTGCTCAATACAAACAGAAATTCTAGACAGTTCAACACTTGGTTTAGCAAGCCTGGGTCAAGGCAAAAGGACTGTGCTGGTAGAAACACCATGACTGCAGAAAAAACATTCTGTCTACTCATTCCTCCCTTTCTACCATATGAATACAGAAAAAAGGAAGGATACAAAAGGCAATCTCCCCCTCCTACTGTACTCCTCCCCCTAACGAAGTAACTGTACAGCAGCTAGGAACAAACCTGAATTGTCTAACACTCCTCAGCAGCATAGAAAGTCAGGCCAGGATATAAACTTTACATTGACGCAGGAGACATGGTTATTTGGATTATCTTATTTTTTTCTCAGATACGCCTACCATATGAAGACAGGCTGAGAAAGTTGGGTCTGTTCAGCCTGGAGAAGAGAAGGCTGCATGGAGACCTCATAGCAGCCTTCCGGTATCTGAAGGGGGCCTATAGGGATGCTGGAGAGGGACTCTTCATTAGGGACTGTACTGATAGGACAAGGGGTAACAGGTTAAATCTTAAACAGGGGAAATTTAGATTGGATATAAGGAGGAAATTCTTTCCTGTTAGGGTGGTGAGGCACTGGAATATGTTGCCCAGGGAGGTTGTGAATGCTCCATCCCTGGCAGTGTGGCCATGTCGGACAGTCTAGGGTTTACTGTGAGGTGTCCCTGCCCATGGCAAGGGGGTTGGAACTTGATGACCTTAACATCCTTTGCAACCCTACCTATTCTATGAGTCTATGATTTTATGATTCTGTTCTTAATTACCCTTACTTAGGAAAAATTAATTATTCATGAACCTCTATACTTTTTTTTAATGCAAATCCTACCAAGTATATTTTTCAGCACAAGTACAGGCTCAATGGAGACTGGATAGAGCAGCCACAGGGAGAAGCTGGAGAGAAGCTCTGGACAAGGGCCTGCAGGGACAGGACAAGGGGGAATGGCTTTAACCTGACAGAGGGGAGACTGAGATGAGATCTCAGGCAGAAGTTCTTCCCTGTGAGGGCGCTGAGGCCCTGGCACAGGTTGCCCAGAGAAGCTGTGGCTGCTCCATCCCTGGCAGTGTTCAAGGCCAGGTTGGATGGGGCTTGGAGCAACCTGGTCTAGTGGAAGACATCCCTGCCCATGGCAGGGGAGCTGGAACTGGATGAGCTTTAAGGTCCCTTCCAACCCAAACCAGTCTGGGATTTTTATGACTAAGTCAATAAGACTACTTGAGCAAAACAAGTTCCTAACTGGAAGAACAGTCATGTCTGTCTTCAACATCTGCTGTAACACTAAAGACTTTATTCCCTGACACAAAATGATGATAACGTCTCTTGTGCCTCAGCTTATATGCTCTACACCAGGAAATGAACTCATACTTTGTGAGAAGATAAAATCATGGTAAAAAATATGCCCTCTTGAAAGGAGTTCAGAGGATGTAAGTACAGGTATCATACTGGGGCAACGGTCAGATCACACTGCCACTTCTGAAGTGGCAGTATTGATACTTAAAACTTAAATTGGCTTAGGTAAAACACCAGACAACACTAAATCTCACAACAGTACTTGGCAAGATATAACTGACTTTTGAACACAAACTTAATACCTATGATAATGTACTTAAGAAAAACATCGCAAATTTGTATTTCAGTCAAACATACAACTTAGCTGTACGCTTTAGTATTTCTAAACTAATTTCTTGTTTTGCAATCGTATGTAAAAGACATAACTAGTTCACAATTCTGCTGTCCTGGGTTCAGTAGTAGCAGTCATTTTTACCCTTCTTAGTAGCTGGTGCAGTGCTGTGTTTTTGACCTTCAGCCTGGGAACAGTGCTGATAACACCAATGTTTTTAGTTGCTGCTTAGTAATGTTTAGTCTGACCAAGGACTTTGTGAGTCTCATACTCTGCCAGGGAGGAGGGAAGCTGGGAGGAAGCAGAGACAGGACACTTGACCCAAACTAACCAAAGAAGTATTCCATACCACAGCATGTCATGCCCACTATATAAACTATATACCCAGAAGGGACAGATCGCTGCTGGGATTGGGCTGGGTATCGATCGGTGGGTGGTGAACGGTTGTATTCTCTCCCCTTGTTATTTCCCTTATCATTATTATTATTGGTGGTAGCAGTAGTGGTTTGTGTTATACCTTAGTTACTGGATTGCTCTTATCTCAACCCGTGGGAGTTACATTGTTTTGATTCTCCTCCCCATCCCTCTGGGAGCAAGGGGGACGAAGAGGGGGGGAGTGAGAGGGGGACTGCATGGCTGACTGAGTTTAAACCATGACATCTGCAAAAACATTAATTTATAAAGAGTTAAAAATATTTACCAACATCATAAGAAACAACTCTTCATACTCTTCCTCAAATTAATCACATTTGGAAACTTCAAGCTAATTTATCTTCAAACAGTAGTAGTTCATTAGATCAAGCTTTCAATAAAGAAAGCACATAGAAATCACTCCTCTGTACAACCCTACTTTATTGACAAATCAACGTAGAATACCATTCAGTGTTAGACACACTGAGTCTGCATAAAGTAATTTGCATTTATCAGCCAATTTCTCTTCGGACCTACTCATAAACATTTCCTTCTGACCCCTTATTTAAACAGAAATTCAACAAATCCAGAAAAGTTTTGAACTTCAATTAGTTTAATGTAACACTTTGATTCAACATCTTTATTCACATGCAGTAACAATCTTCCAATAATCTGTAGCTGGATATGTCGAACCAACCTAAACACTGCTAATAACCTGATGTTCAGAAGTACTGTTTAAAGTTTAAATTTCCTTTTTTCATATCTGTTTCTCCAATGCACAACTATACCTTCAGGTTTACAAATGTATGCAGTTGCAGTGAATTCTCTGAGTTACATACTCTACATATATTTGTGACTTCTTACAGTTTTCAAACAGTGAATTTTCCCATGAGTTCTGTCTCAAATGAGCTATCACCTAATACAGCAGTAGCTCTCTACAGAGTATTTCAGCAGTACAGTAGTTAGCATTTTGCACAGCTATCAATATATAGGGTAAGATCAAACTATACCTGAAATCTACCCTTACTGACATTCATGCTAACACATTGACAATGACTCAGTTTTCATTTCTCAGCCATCATCAACCCAAGATGCATGAGACTTGACTAGGCTCTAGGCGTCTTTTATCTGTACACTGAAGTTCTTAAGATTGAACGTTCATCCTGGGTTCAGCAGTAGCAGTCATTTTTTCTCCTTCTTAGTATCTGATGCAGTGCTGTGTCAAGACTGCACTGGAACAGGGGCAAGCTCCAGAACACCTGCAATACATTGATGACAGTATTGTGTGGGGCGATACAGCGGAAGAAGTCTTTGAGAAAGGGAGGAAAATAACCAAATCCTGCTGAAAGTCGGTTTTGCCATAAAATGGAGTAAGGTCAAGGGACCTGCACAGGAGATTCAATTTTTGGGAATAAAATGGCAAGATGGACGTAGACAGATCCCCACAGATGTGATCAACAAGATAACAGCAATGTCTCCACCAACTAATAAGAAGGAAACACAAGCTTTCTGGGGTGCAGTGGGGTTCTGGAGAATGCACATCCCAAACTACAGTTCAATTGTAAGCCCTCTCTATCATGAGACCCAGAAGAAAAATGATTTTAAATGGGGTCCTGAACAACAACAAACCTTTGAGCAAATTAAACAAGAGAGTTCATGCAGTGGCCCTTGAACCAATCTGGACCTGGCCAGATGTAAAAAAACGTACTCTACACTGCAGCTGAGGAGAATGGTCCTACCTGGAGCCACTGGCAGAAAGCTCCAGGGGAAACTCGAGGTCGACCCTCGGCTTCTGGAGTTGGGGATACAAAGGATCTGAGGCCAGATATACCCCAACTGAGAAAGAGATACTGGCAGCCTATGAAGGGGTTCGAGCTGCTTCGGAAGTGATTGGCACTGAAGCACAGCTCCTCCTGGCACCCCGGTTGCCCGTGCTGGGCTGGATGTTCAAAGGCAGGGTCTCCTCTACACATCATGCAACTGATGCTACATGGAGTAAATGGGCTGCACTAATTACACAACGAGCTTGAACAGGAAATCCCAGTCATCCAGGAATTCTTAAAAGTCATCATGGACTGGCCAGAGGGCAAAGATTTTGGAATGTCACAAGAGGAGAAGGCGATGCCTGCTGAAGAGGCCCCACCATATAATAAACCGTCAGGAAGTAAAAAGCAATATGCCTTGTTTACTGATGGGTCCTGCCATACTGTGAGAAAGCATCGGAGATGGAAGGCAGCTGTATGGAGT